AAAATAAAACATGTTTTTTTTTTTTTTTAAATTATTGGATTTTCAAGAAATTTATACTTTGAACAAAAAAAAGTTTTTTGTTCGTAGAAATCCACTTTTCATTTATTTTATTTTTAACTTTATATAGCCTGTGTAAAACTTCTTTAAAATATCTTTGATTTTTTTTTTTTTACCAAACTGAATCTAGCCTGATACAAGGAGGACACCAAGTGAGAATCGAACTCATTATGAATAGTCTTAAAAATTATTGCTTTCCGACATGAATTCAGTGCTCTTAAAAAGTTATTTAAATTATTCATTGTGTTTGTTTTATTTTTTGTTTTTTTCTTTTCTTTTTGGTAGATTTTATTTTTGTAGTACCGACCAAAAAAGATCGATACAAATGAACATCGCTAAAAACAGAAGAGTAGTCAATGTTAAACAAATAGAAATATTCGATTATTTTGTTTCATGACAAACACAAGAGAAAAATAAATAAACATACGCTTACCTACCCGTACACACGCATGCACACACATACATACATACATACGCACGCACACACGCACGCACGCACGCACGCACGCACACACGCACATGTTACTGGGTATGTTTGTATTTTTCTAAAGACAAATCCTACCATACATTATCCGAAAAACAGTAGTAAAAGTTTCTTTACTTACTTACTTATTTATGTTCTGCGTCCATTTGTTTCCAGCGATATGATTATTTTTATTGCCGGGGTAGGGCCGGAGAGTTTTAATTTGTACCTGGTTGCCATTGACAACACCAGCAATCATTCGACCTTCGAAAATAAACAAACAACAAATATCCGCTTAAGAAATGTGAGCGAGAGATTTCAAGGGACGCAACCTTAGCATTTCCCAATATGTATGTATGTATGTATGTATGTATGTATGTATGTATGTATGTACATTGCATGCATACATACACGGCCGGTGCAAAGGTCACGTGACCCTCCCCCACCGGACAATCTATGATACGGGAACTTCCCACTCTACTACATACTAATTTTCCTAAGGTAATATTCATATAAAATACAAATTGTATTATAACCTAATTATGTAATGGATCATATGATTCATAATGATCCATTTAGTGTATTGCATATGAATTTATATGCTATAGGTGAACAATTCTACTTGAAAAATGGAAATAAATACAATGTTTCTAAAATTTATAAATACAAAATTCCATAAATCAATCAATGATGTATTGCAGCAAATTTAACGTCGATTTGAGATTTTTCTTCTTAAAAAGTTAAATAAGACATTCAATATTATTATGGATAAAAAAGTTAGTGAATTATAATTTTTTTTTTTTTTCATGGATAACGAATGAAAAAAGACACCAATCTCTAGAATGAAGTCAGAATCCGCGAAAATATTTTTATCCTTTAATAATTAGAACAATAGTTCAAAAATTTATAACGTATATAAATGTTATAAAATAACTGATTTAAAATATTTTTTTCGCTACATAGTAATAACCATGTTTCAAAAATGGAAGCTAAAAACTTTAAATTTATAATTAAATTAAAAGTAAAAAAAAATGCAAAAAAATAAATTATTCCAATATTCGCTTGAAGATGAAACGGAACTAATGCTTCTAATTTAATTATATAATTAAATTTAAATATTTTACCATCCATTATAAATTAACTGATTTAAAATATGTTTTTTTCGCTACATAGTAATAACCATGTTTCAAAAATGGAAGCTAAAACCTTTAAATTTATAATTAAATTAAAAGTAAAAAAAGCAAAAAAATAAGTTATTTCTAATGCTTTTGATTTAATTATATAATTAAATTTAAATATTTTAGCATCCGTTTTTGAAACATGGTTATTACTGTGTAGCGAAAAACCATATTTTAAATTAGTTAATTTATTAATGTTTATGCTCTGTAAATTTACATTGAGCACTCTTTTGTAAAAATAAAAAATAACAAGTAAATGTGTAAAAATATACAGAAAATAGGAAAGAACTCGTTAGGTAAATAATCCAAAGTTCTTTAGTATTTTTGTTATTATTATTTTTAAAAATAGTGCTCGATACAAAAGTAGAGCATAAATATAATTATTTATTTAAAAATATGATTCCATCGCTACATAAGAGTTCTCATGTTTCAAGACAAAACTTCAATATAATTATTTGAATTAAATTTTTTTTAAATAATTGCTCTAGCAATAGTAACTTTAATAATGAATATGCTTATAAAACGCGTAACTTTCAGGAATTAGTTATTCAAAAAATAATTTCGCTTGAAGATGGAACAGAGCTTGATACTTTAATTCAATTTAATTCAAATAATTATATTGAAGTTTTCGGCTCTTGTTTTGAAACATGAGAACTCTTATGTAACGATGGAATCATATTTTTAAATAAATAATTATATATATATATATATATATATATATATATATATATATATATATATATATTAACCATTTCACCCCAACTAAGAGAACAAGAACACTAAAAGAACAGAATTTGACAGGACATAAGATAATTGATGATGAATTTAAATTTTTGAAGATCAAACTTGACCGGAAAGCAAGAAGCTGGAAGAGAGTTCCACAACCAAGAAGTGCAAAAAAAAAAAAAAAAGAAACTGTTTGCATAGAACTTACGGTTACATCTAACCATTTCGACTGTAAAATGATGAGACCTTGCCGCCAATCGAGTACTGCGCTTAAATTTGTAAAGCTGAATTATCGAAAAGGAAAACTCATCAGCACAATTACTATGAAAATATGTATAGAAAAAACATTTAGAGAATTTACGTTATGGCGCTGTATAAAATGATTGAAGGCGAGATGCCAGGTCAAGACTGATAATATTAATGCCATATCTGAGTCGGTGCCATTCAAACCTCACTATCTAGTTCAAAAGCACTTACGCGGCCTTGTAGGTGTTGAATTATTCTCTATCCTGCAATATTAATTCCACAGATAAAATGTTGTTAGCCTGTTACTACTCTGTCACTATTAGTATTACAGATGTTCAGACGAGTTACATTCCTTACTTCCACCAGCTCGAACCTTCACAGCTAGGACCCGCCTTGTCGTGTTCACGGTGGCACCATCCTCACTCCTTTCATGTTCCTTTGATTAAAAAAAAAGTTCCAATCTGACAGCTTCTTCGCCAGAATTGGTACTTTGTAGAACAAACTCCCGAGAGAATGCTTCCCTGACAACCACAATCCTGGTTTCTTTAAGGTTAGGGTCAACCGATGTCTATACTAGTCATCATCATAATACTCTTACTTCGCCCTCCTTTACAAAAATCTCAATCAGTAACGTTCTACATTGAGTGGCCTTTGGGCCTTGTATTAGGTGAACTTATAGTAAAATAAATCATGAAGTTAAATAGGCTGCAGTTCCTTTGTATGTTTTTCAGATGTAACCTTTATGTATGATATATCATGGCAATGTTTTATGGTGATCCTTACTACTTGTTTCTTATGGAAACTAATATTATACTAGCAGAGTAGTTATTATATTGAATGGTATTTCTGATACAGATAATTTCCTGCTGGTATGTGTCTGGTTCACCACTTATGATTTTGGCCCAACGTTTTAGGAAATGGATCATCTCTTTCTTGACTCTATATGGACAGTGATATTTGATATTTTTACTTGTTTATTTATGTACGACTATTTCCACTCAAATAGCTCCACTCGCAAAACTGCTACTTTACGGAACAAACTCCCAACAAACTTGGTTTAAGTTCAGGATCAACTGATATCAATCTTATATTCCCCTGGAACAATCTCACTCAGTAACCCTCTACCTTGGGTGGCCCTTGTGTGAACTAACAGTAAAAAAATAAATAAACTGTATCTCCTATAGATGTCATGCATAGCATCCAATTCATTCAGAAACCTTCATCTAGATACAACTGGTTTCTCTGATCAACGATTAAAAATGGCAAAGACATTTTGAACCAATGAGGTATTCAGAAGGGACACCTTTGATAAGCCTTGATTCTGAGCCTTGTTATAGCGATGCTATGTCTTGTAATAAAAAGGGGGAATGTTCTGGAAAAAAAGGATTGAGGAGAAAGCTCTTTCTCTGTATTATTTTCAACCAGTCGGAGAAACAGAATTTGAAACGTACAACAATTTTGAAAGGAACCTACTTGTACAAATATAAGGGAAGCAGCCATCTGGTTTAAATATTGTTTATTGGCAGCAGAACTCAGGATACCTGGTTGGTAGATCAATTAACATTTCAGTGGTGAGAACAGGAGGCTAGATTCCAAGATATCATGTGGCCAGAAACCAACTTCAGGTAACATGCAAAAACTAAAAACAGATTATTTTGGACATTTAAAATTAATCCACCACGATGATGTAACCACTTTCTGCAACTATAATTCTAGAAAGTTGTAGCAACTTCTAAAAGTTTACCACAAATAACATTCACTCAGTAACTCATTGAACAACAGACTCTGGCACTGTTATATTGACCTATCAACCCCAAATGTGTCAGAAAATGAATAGCATCTCATGAACTTTGCGTCACTTATACTAAGGACTTTTAAAAAAGACTTTAGCAACTAATGTATGCCTACACTTATAAACATTTTTTCAGTCTAGCTTAATTATTTAGACACTCAAAGGAATATTTTAAGCATGACTTTACACCCATCTTTTTTACGTAAATTATTGCAAACACATTCTTTCTGTTTCAATTTCACAATGAGTTATTTCGCGCATAAAGAGATAACTGTTATTTATTTTTGTGTGCGGTAAATTCCCTACAGGCTACAAGCAAATGAACTCTTTCGGTCTTAAAGAAGACAATCATTTATTAGACCATACAGATCAGTACTATAAAATCACAATGAGCTTGACCAAATAACAAAAATTACATCCCTTGTAAACTTCCAACATCAACAACAACAAAAATGGATAACACATGTAACTAGAATGGAAAATAATCATATAAGCATGATGTTGACTTTCCACACTATATTAAACAAAAGATTAGGACTGAGATAGATAGATAGATAGATAGATAGATAGATAGATAGATAGATATGAAATGAGCAGAGATAGATATGAAATGAGCAAACTGGGATAGATAGATAGATAGATAGATAGATAGATAGATAGATAGATAGATAGATGTGAATAGAGTGAGATAGATAGATAGATAGATAGATAGATAGATAGATAGATAGATAGAGGGACCTTCACAAAAATCGCGATACCTAAGTTTTAAAATGAATTTTTCAAAATGATAAATCTTTCTTGAAACTTTTATTTTCATTTTAATTTCAGGCTAATAGCTTAAATTTAATTTAATTTCCAATAAGTAAAATACTTTACCTTAATTCAAAAAATTATTTAAATCGACTGAAAATCATTTATTTTATTTTATTTATTTATTTTTTTTTTTTTGTTTCTTTTGCTAAAATCGCTGATTAGCACCTTTTTTTCGTTGTCTTTCATCGTAATGTAATTCTCTTTATTAAAAAAATCTTCCAAAAATGAAATGTACTTTTCTAAAACTTTATTTGAGGAATATTAGCTGATTTAAAGTATAATTAATCTGATTTGAAAACAAATATTATTTACTTTAAGTATCGCAGAATTGCATTTTTAACCCGGCAGTAGTAGTGTTCTTAAAGCGACAGCAGCTGCTCTGGCGTGTTGACAACCTAAAGACAGATCTAAATAATATTCTACAGCGACTTTATCTGTAAAACATGATTTAAGAAAATGACGTGAGCACCTTTATTATACAATTTTTAAGTACTCGGTAAAATTTAGGAAAATATTCTCTGTAATCTAATATTTTATTGAATTTTAAAAATGTTACTGTAGTTACCGCTCTTGTTTTCTGATAATGTCGTGTATGGTCTCGGATTGAGGAATCGGAGAGCCGAGTTCGAATTTCAGTCGAATTCATTACATTCACTTGGGAAAGATATGAATCCTCTTCTTCTCCCCCCAGCTATGGATAAATAACAGGAGAGACCTGGTTCTACAGCCTTGGATAGCAACTGGTCTACCGCAGAAAGAAATGACAACCTACTGCGGGAAAAATCTGCCTCGTCAGTCATGTATCGAAAGATACATGATCGCCTAAGCGTGTCTAACACATGGCACATAAGTGAATGATGGTCGAACGTACTTACAAAAATCGGAACGTTTATATATAAACGGTGTTTCTGTTTGACAAAAACAAATTGATGATTTAGGCACCTCCAATAATTCGCTATAAATCAGTATAGCATAATGATAAAAGGCGCCAAACTTAATAAAAACAAAGTTTTATCGTTAAAATGTTTATGTTATTATTAAGAGGAAAGAACAAAGTATTTTTTAATTATTTTTTTTTTAAATTTCCTTCTTTCTAACACGTTCTAAATTTGGGTAAAAAATCTCGTTATTTTTATTTTATTTTATTTTTTTTTTGTCAACTTTGTACTACTAGTGGTAATGGCGTTTTCGTGTAGCAGTTTTCGGGAGAAACCCCATTAATTTGGAAATTCTTGCAAAAATCATTTTGACGATAAAACTCTGTTTTTATCAAGTTTCCAGCCTTTTTTTTTTCATCATTCTATACTATTTTTTACAAAATTTTTGGAAGTGCCTATGTTATTTTGTTTGTTTCTCTTTTTGCCCTATCTGGATAATATTAATTATCGTAATACTATTCCTTAGAATGGCGAGGATATACATTTTAAATGTGTCGTGGCTAAGATAGGTTTAATTTTTTTATCAATGTGTAAACACTTCATTTGACATGCCGGCAACCAAAACAGATCAATCAACATAATCTGATAAGAATTATTAACATTATGGGTTGGGTTAGGAGAAGGCGGCAAAATGACAAGTGCAAGTTCACCTCATGGAAATTTTTAAGAGACTTGCGTACATGGACGTCTGCTAGAGGAATAGGGTGGGGGCAAAAGCCACATTCCCCAACCTGAACAAACAGGTCATCAGTCCTTACTCATTTACAATATGTTCTCTGTCGTAATAAAATGAGCACATCCCATCTCCCATCTTCCTTGTATTATTCGTCACAATAAAATAAATGTTATTCACCACTAAAGCTGAATTAGTAAAATAAAGCTTAATAAGCGTCTACATAAAGTTGTTGCTATATTATTCTCTCTCTTCTCCCTCTCTATCCCCCTCTCTATCCCCCCTCTCTCTCTCTCTCTCAAAAATTCTATATATTAGACTATTAGTGCGTAACTATCAAATCATTGCAAAAGTCCGTGCCCGATTTTCATTGTTCGATGAGCCTATAAACCACTGCTCGAAAGAGAGACAGCAAAAGAGAAAGAGAAAATGGTATTGCAGGCCGATGGACATCAGTAATTTGATCCAGAGAATAATATGAAGTCTAATGGATTTAATCCATTGATGCCCACCATAAAAAAACATTATTAATTATAAAAATTCAAATGACATCTACAGCAGATAAGATTGAATGCTTTGCTCGGAAATTCTTTTCCAACTCAACACTCAACTCATCTGGAGTACTCACACCTGATTTCCCACCTAGAACAGAGGCTCTGCTGAGTGATATGTGCATAACCCTACCAGTAGTCTCAGACATAATTTCTAAATTAGACACTCATAAGACAAGCGGTGGTGGCAGGATCCCAGTCGTCATCCTAAAGAAATGTACCCCCAAGCTAGCTCCAGTTATGTCCAAACTCTACAACTATTGCCTCTCTGCTTCCTACTTTCCAGCTTGTTGAGGTCCTTCTCTGTAGTTCCTGTTTTTAAGAATTCTGGCGAATCTTCTGACTCCTCTAAATATTGCTCTATTAATCTCTAACCGCTTTTCGACAAAATATTCGAGGCTTTAATCAATTGTGAAGTGATGAAGCATCTTACTTCTTACAACCTACTCTCAGACAAACAATATGGCTTCTGTTTTGCCAGGTCTACTGCTGATATGTATATCAAGCTCTTGATGATAACAGTGAAGCTCGGGCTGTGGTTCTAGATATCTCGAAGGCATTTGACAGAGTTTAGCATGCTGGTCTTCTACGTAAGCTCCAGGGCTACAGTATGACAGAATGATTGTTTGATTTAATCCAATGGTTCATATAAAATCTAAAATTTGAATGGGCTTCCTATCACATGAATGTGGGTGTCTCCAAGGCTCTATTCTGGGTCCTACGCTGTTTCTGATCTTCATCAATGATCTTCCTGATGTCATCATTTCCCAAGTAAGCATCTACGCAGAAGGCACTACTATTTATTCCTGTCTCAATAGCAAATCCATCAGAGCTGACAAAGTTAACCTGGCCGCTGCTCTTGAAAAGAACCTCCAATCAGTGGTAAACTGGGGCAGGAAATGGCTAGTAAATTTTAATGCCTCCAAAACAAATCTACTCTTATTTAAACACCATAAAGAAACTTTTCTCCCTGCCATCAACATGGGTGATGCTTGACTCCTGTAGAGAAAACACACTGTCCCTTCTTGGTCTCACTTGAAGTGGAGTGACTACAGCAATTCAATAGCTGCATCTACTGCAATTAAAGTTGGGTCACTGTGTCATGCAAGATCATTTTTCTCATCAAAGACCATCTTATACATTTACAAGTCTACCATTCATCCATGTATTGAATACTGCTGCCATATCTGGTCTGGTGCACCTGCTATTCATCGCGAAGTTTATAAGATCCAAAGAAGGATCTGCAATGTAATAGATCTTCACTTGGCATTTCAACTTCATGGCTTCTCTCTGTCTTTTCTACAAATATTATCATGGCATCTGCTCTGACAAGCTTTTTTCCCTGATGCCCCGAATACATGAATTTAAGCATGCTACTAGATTGGCATTTAGGTCCCACCCTTTTACTGTTGAAATAATTAAATATAACTACCACTTCTATTCCAGCAATTTATTTTCTCACACTTCCCACTTGTGGAAATCCCTTCCGTTTACTTGCTTCCCTAACAACTACAATCTTCAAACATTTAAATGCAATGTCAGTCACCATCTTCTAACTGCTTGAAGCCCATTTATCTTTTATTCTTTCCTCAGTCCTCCCTATACTCAGTTTTTCTCTCACTTTCATTCTCTGTAGAAAGCGTACTAGTGACATTCCTGCCTTGCTTGAGATGAAGTGATTAAAAAAATATCCAACTATCTCAGCTACTAAGTAGATTTTATGTTAAAAATCATATTTTCAAACCATTATTAGAAAAACAATTGTCTATGTACATTTAAATCAATTTTAAATTTGAATCTGTGTAAAGTTAGATCTATTTGACTTTAAATTCATTTAAATATAAATCCATTTAAATTTAAATTCATTTAAATTTAAATTATTTTTGCCTTACAAGAAATCTTTTTTCATATTTATATTTCATGTGATTTCCATTTTAAAAAGTCACTTCTGTAATTTTCATGAATTGCTTTGTGATTTAATTTCATTATTCATTTAAATTCATTATTTATTCAAATTATGTATTTAAATTAATTATTTAAATTCATTATTTATTCAAATTATTTAAATTAATTATTCACATTCCTTATTTATTCAAATTCCTTATTTATTGAAATTATTTATTTAAATTCATTATATTCATTTAAATTATTAAATACATTAATTATTCAATATTGTTTTTAATTATTAAATACATTACTTATTTAAATGATTTAAATTTATTATTTTTTAAATTCATTATTTATTCAAATTCATTATCTATTCAAATTCATTATCTATTCAAATTCATTATTTATTTAGTAATATGGTAATAGTGAGTTCAATTCCTGGGTCAAGCAGTACTGACAGGGAGAAGAGGTAAATTCATATCTTTCCTAGGAGCATTTGCTCATAACTGAATATAATGAACCTAACAGGAATTGGAACTCGGCTCTCTGATTAACAATACTGAGCCATTATCCATTATTTCACCCACACATCTAAGCTTACAGCACCTGGTACTCTCAAGCCATCATCCATCTAGGCTTGACATTGCTTAACTTTGGGGATCATATGGGGATCAGTGTTTCAATGTGATATGGCCATAAGCTAAAAGAACAACATGAGATATCCCTAAACATACACAGCAGAATGGAGACAATCTCTCCCTGTACATTGAATAAAGTGTTCAGTTTGAAATTCCCTGAGCATTACCCAGATCAAAAAAGAGGAGGCAGGAGGCCACCACGGCTGAAATAAAGATGAGGACAATAGTCCGAATGTAAATAAATAACAAAGAATGCAGTTTTCAGATTATTGTTTTTATACCAAATATTTTTTCAAAATATTTAAGAAATCATTTTAACACATAATCTAATGTCTTAATTTTGAAACATTTTAGACATTCTTTTTTTCTATTTACATTGTTTATATGCAGATTATTGATCTCATTTTTATTGTCGTTATCACAACGTTTTGATTGATGTACCCCCTGGCCTTCATCAGTCGTATGTCAATCCAGGTAACCTCCAAGGAATTCTGAAATGAACCCTTTATTTTATCTACAGTACCAGATGAAGGCTGGAAACAACAACAGATGAAATGTGATAACAACAACAAAGATGAGGACAATAGTCCAAATGTAAATAGTGTAAATAATGATAACTTCTCATCCCAGAAATTCAGTGATAACAACAACAAAGATGAGGACAATAGTCCAAATGTTAATAGTGTAAATAATGACAGCTCCCCATCCCAGAAATTCAGTGATAACAACAACAAAGATGAGGACAATAGTCCAAATGTTAATAGTGTAAATAAAGATAGCTCCCCATCCCAGAAATTCAGTGATAACAACAACAAAGATGAGGACAATAGTCCGAATGTCAATAGTGTAAATAATGATAACTCCCCATCCCAGAAATTCAATAATAACAACAAAGATGAGGACAATAGTCCAAATGTTAATAGTGTAAATAATGATAACTCCTCATCCCAGAAATTCAGTGATAACAACAACAAAGATGAGGACAATAGTCCAAAAGTAAATAGTGTAAATAAAGATAACTCCCCATCCTAGAAATTCAGTGATACAACAAAGATGAGGACAATAGTCCAAATGTTAATAGTGTAAATAAAGATAACTCCCCATCCCAGAAATTCAGACTGAAACTCTTTTTTTTCTGTAACGGAGAGGTGTTCTGATATAAAGTCGTCACTTAACATTTTTTGGACTCATTTTTCATAAATATTTTATCAAAATTACCTCACATTTCAAAGTTAGCAATTAAAATTATCATGTTCATTTAAATAAAAATTTAGATCAATAATAATAAGTCATTATTTTTGGAAAATCCTTAGGTAAAAATAATTTTCCTTATACATTTGCCAGTGGCACCAGAAAGAAGAAAGGAAATAAATACCTTTGATGATAAAATTAAAAAAAAAAAAAACAAAAAAAAAAAAACTTCATTGAATTGTTTATTGCTTACTTGCAATCAGTGGAAATTTAAGCCATTTTCTGGAGTTCATAAAATTTAAAATTTAACAATAGGTAAAGATAATTACTACCTGTAGAATGCCAGGTGAAAAGGTTGTCAGACCAACGATGTTATTTCTCTTCACACTTGAGTATAAATGCAACACTACCTGTTCAAATTTAGATTGTTTTCATTAAGACAGCCAATACCAGTGACTAATTAAAAATACGCCTACCCAGGTTCCTGTCAAAGTAGACAGTGTCAAACTGAAAACTGGATATTTCCATCATCATATTGATATACTCTCACCATCAAATCAAATGTTTTCATTAATAAAATAATTAACAAAATTAATAAATTAATAATATTAATAAATTATTAATAAATCATTAATATTTCATTAATAAATCATTAATAAATAATAAATAAATAATAATAAATAATAAATAAATAAATAATAAATAAACAAAATAAATAAACTGTTGTGGCCTGTTTAGAGGCCAGAAAGAAAGACACGAAAGACAAAGGTAGGTTGAACAAGTGTATTGAAATAACAGATATATACAAAGCAAGATGGGCAACTCGACGTAATGTAATGGTTAGTAAGCTTGTCTTGCTAGAACAATTACAACTAAGTAGTGAGTTTGATCCTCACTGGGTGCTCTATACTTTCGGCCTTGTGCCACATCAAGGCTGCGCTTAGAAAATCACTATATACAAAGCAAGAGTGTTAGTAATAAGCAGATAGAGGTGTATGTCCGAACGGTAGGTTAAACACTGTGTCTACGCTCCCAAACCAACTTTTGCTGTTAGTATTTATGTAGGGAGGAAGAGTTCATTCTACTGTAGGAGGGATTACCACAACAAAAACAAAATAAAATAATAAAATAATAATAATAATAAATAAATAAATAAATGAATAATAAATAATAATAAATCATTACT